AAAGTTTTATGTTTGATAAATTAAAAAAAAAAAACAATTTATTATATTATTAAAGTCCTGCTAAAATTTACCTTAATCAAATAAAGAGCACTCAGCATTCCTTAACTTTATCTGAACACTTAAACAAATATTTCATCTAAAAAAAACTGGAGGGCTACATTTTACTGTACAAAGTATGTATTGAGAAACGTATTTAAGTACATTCCTTTCCATATATTCAACCAATAACTGTATTTGTCATACACTAGTCCGCATTTAATGTATAGGTATTATGCACAATTTACCAAAACAACCGCCAGTCAAGAAACAGTAATACTCAATGATTTGTCACAACACGGAAATACCCGAATACATTCAATAATCAGTTACACTTCGCGTTATGAGAATGATCAATGACGCTTAAAATTAGTAGGGTTTTATATACTTTTTAAATTTGAAGATCTAAATAGCCGGTTTTTTGGCCAAAGTCATCCTTTCTCACTCTGTTCAGCATAATTAGAACGAGACAGTTTCATTTGGAGTGAAGTTAGGCGCAATACACGGTCACGTAACAAAAACTATTCGAATGTTCGAGTTAACGTTAGCGAGTATAGTAAATGTAAATGTGACTCATGGTAAAACTTCTATCGAATACTATTCGAAGTGCGTTTATTCGCTATCGACTGCGGTAACGTAATGAGATTTTTCGATAGCAACTCATGGTAGCGCTACTGATCATTTTTCCTTGTATTTAGTGTTGGTCCCGTAAAATTTTTCAGTATATTTAACTCATCCACCCCACGATATTTCAAGTTTTCCATTTTTTATACGTGACGTAAATAGGACAAACAGAAGAAAAAAAAAACAAATTCATGCCGCCTAACGAAACGCAAATACATGCCGATTTCATATGTAAGGACCTATAATTTACCTTATATATCATACCAAGTATACTCATTCTATAGTTTCTAGGCACGTTATTAATATTTACTGGCATACGTTATGTCATTGTCAACTATATTACAATATAATCATATTATTATAATATAACTGCATTATAATTACAATACCTAAGACACCAATTTACTACAACAAATTAGCAGTAACAGAACATTAAAAAACAGTCATATGATTCAATTTATTTATTCTTTAAACACGGATTTATGACATAATCATATACTTTTAATCTTAGATTACTGCTAATTGACCTTTCTATTATACTTAAATTAGTATAAGATAGTATAGGATTTTTCCATGTTTGTGGTAAAGATAGTCAAGAGATATCGTAAATAAGTTGAAAGTGCGGCACGTGTATTATTTGTGGTTAGACTGGCATCGCTTTAAAACATGTAAGTAGAAGATAATACCAATGAATGAATAAGTCAATCTAATCAATAATATCAGCAAAACATGAACATATTATCAAATTTGTTTAAAAACTTGATACAATTATAAATGCATTCATTAATTTTAAAGAAATGCTTTAGTAGTATTTCGTATCTATAATATTTGAAGTACCTATATAACTTCATCAATTTTTCAACAGCTGTGATAAATAAAAATGGAGATTTTATGGATACCTATGTTTTACAAGAAATGATTTTTATCTATAGGTCTATATCTACTGTATAAATAAATTCTGATAACTTTTCCACAAAGCCATATTCTGATAGAAAAATATCATAATATATCGATTAGCATCAGTATATATATCTTAATTAAAATCACACAATCAAAATAATCAATAATCAAAATTATCCATCATCAATAATAAATTTTAAGTCGAAGCGGTCACCTTTAGTAGAACATTAGTAAGGGTTTATTGTGTTCGTTAGCTATTTAGGTAAATAAATTATATTTAGGTTAATATGATCAAAAAGAAATACTTGAAATACCAATAACTGTCATTCAATACTTATTCAACATTTAAATTGTCATTTATCTAACTGCCAAAACATCTATAGAATTCTTGGACAGGCTCAGTCCACATGCATCTCTCAGAAGAACGAATAAAGGAATCTATCATAGCTAACCGTAGTACATTACAACACTACGAAACAACACAGAACATACACGATTACACAAAATACACACAAAAAACACACATAAACAAAAAACAAAAATAAAAAACACACATATTGAACAAAAAACAACACACACAAAAAAACAGCATGATGGTTTGGAAAAGAATGATGACCATTCCAACCAAATCATAAAACTGGAACATAAATATAATACATAGAAGGAAACATTATGGATATAGAAAATTCTATGACAACACATAACCTGATAAGAAATATATAAATGTATATATTACTAACAGGACATAACAAAATAGAGAATAAAAACTTATAGAATAGGAAAAGAAAGAGGAACACTACATATATTTAAGAACATATACAAAGTGATCTTAAAATAAAGAACAACAATAAAATAAATAGGATAACTAGGATTAGGAAAATAAATAAAATAAGACAAATTAGGAACTAGAATAATATACAAATAAAATAAGAGGACAAAGGGAACAAACACGGTGTAATGGGGTATATGTAAAGTATAAGGCAACAATGTATTAAGCATAAGTAAAATGTACTAGAATATAATAAACAACTAGAAATAGTAAAAATGTAAAATGTAATACAAATAGAAAAAGGAAATGTAACCAGAACAATACACGAGTAAACATGTATTATAGAATAAGACAATGTATAATTAAAAATTAATTAGAATAAGAAAATGTAAAGGAGTAAGGACATAACACAAATAAACATGGACTAGAGAATAAGACAGTGTATAACATAGGATAGTAAAGTTTTAAATAAATAAATGTAATAGAATATAATGGACAAGTAGTAATCATAGAAATGTATAAGTGGAAAAAAAAATAAAAATAAAATGAAACCGAAATTGGACATAAACAAGAAGTAAATGTAATATAGAATAAGATAGTGTAATCATACAGTAATAAAGAAAATGTGTATGTTGTTTAAAAAACCCCCAATAAATAAATAAATAAAAATAGAATTGAATATAATAGGACCGGCAATGCCAGCCGAAGGATTGAATGAGGACAGAAAAAAAAGATCAGGAATGAGGAATGAAAGATTGGTAATCGCGAGAACTAGAATACAAGAGAACAATAGAGTAAGAAGGGCCTGCTACAAAGTGGGGACAAGTTAGGAAGCGGCAAAAAATTTGTAAGGCCGGGCATATTAATAAAACAAAATAATAAAAAAAACCGTTGTACATTAAAAGTTGCATGTGAATAATTAAGCACTGAGTAAGTCCAAGATATCAACCTCGTTCCCATAATCTACATAAGCAGGTACCCATGACATCATATTAGGTTATTACAAAAGATTGGAGTTGTCGACGTACTTAAATTTTATCTCATTTTCAATATTGATTGCGGACTAAAGATTTTTTAGAATCAAGTTAATGTTCATATGTAGTGTCTATAGGCCTATGGATGATCAAATCAATTCATCAAATAGAATCTAATAGGGAGAATATGTTAGATCATTTGGCCGTTATAATATAATAAAGTGTTTAAAAATTACAAAATAAAGTAAAAATCTCTATATTACCCCCAAAGACATTATCAAACTCAGTCACAAGAAACCGACACCACATTGGCCGAATAATATACATATTAAATCATCGTTACTATGATCCAATCAAACGATTTTGCTACTTTTATCAAAAAGTTACACTTGAGTGGAAAAAATCAGCTAAGATTTAATAAGACCTACACGCAAATAAATAAAAACGGTATAAATATATCTCGCGTCCTTAACACATAACAAACAGTGTTATCAATAAGACGCACTGTCAAATGACAGATAACAGTAAGATAGTGTAACTCGCATTAATAATATAGAAAATACATAGCGTTTATAAGTTCCGATACGTATATAAAAACATACGATATGCAGTATTTTTACCAATGAGTCTTTAATTTTATTAAACCTGTTTGGGGCAATAAAAGGTAATAAATATTAAAACTCTTTAGCTTAAACACTAATTTGTTTTCACATTACGTATTCTCATAAATGTTTAGAAATTAGAAATAAAAAAATATAGAAAAATTAACTTCACACACATAAATATAAAAAAATCGTACTTGTGTGAACTTTCCTTATCGTGCCTGTCAATGATTTATTTTGATTTATATATTCAGAACAAATATATAATAATCGGGTAATAATCTGTTCGGGTTATTTGAAATGTCGGAAATTATAAAATTATATAGTTCGAAATTAAAAATATTTATATAATTCAAAAGTTCAACATCAACATTGGCGATCAAAATGATAATAAAATCATGGCATATCAGCGAACATCTATTTTACATAATTATGTTATTTTTTTACATAAAGGTTTCTACAAAATAACGTAAAGAACATTAAAGTTACTAAATCAATTTACAGTAGGTAATTAGCAAGGCAATAATTAAACATGCCTATTGTTAATAACGCTGTGTTTTATCATGTCATGTACTTTATTGTTTACAAACGGATCACATTAAATATGAGTTTGAAACTTTATGATAGTCGAAGTTTGGATTGTAGTTGACTTGAGACATTAAAAAGTACTTAACGACCTTAAGAAATAATTAACTTCCGTAATTGAGGCTGCTCTATTTGACTCTATCTTTGTACGCTGTCGAAGGGTCATTGAATTTTTGATAAGATAAATTCAATTTTAGAATTGATATGTGAATATTATATACTTACACAGCAAGTAATGAATCTTATGACATACAGACCATTATTATTTTCTTATACGTATTTATATGAAAAATTTAAATAAATAATAGTGATATGTTTACCGCAAACTTGTTGTGAATGAAATATATTTAATAGATGATTCATGAAGTTAGACGACAAAGTTTCCTAGATACTATTAATTTCAATAAAATGAACTTACATATTTAGGTGCATAGTATCCGTATTTTAAACAATGGTTTTCACTATAATCTTTCACATGCACTTTAGATATATATAATACACAAAACCAACCTTTTCTGGAGGAATCGTTTCCGAAATTCGATGTAGGCTGACCGGCCTTTATCTTCATCGTCGGAGATTTTGACACGGCCGTGTAAAGGCACCCTGTTTCTGGACATCCCATAGTCCATTTGGAGGTCGACTATGAGCATCAGGGTGAAGAGGACTAGAAATGCGCTGAGCGCGAGCGCTAGGCGCTCCTTTAGCTTCATGTTGAGCATGGTGCGCGCGGTCGTGCGGCGCGGCGCGGGTGGACTGCGCGAGCGCGCATGTTCGGGTGGCGGCGACCGCTTATAGTCTCGCGCGCAGCCGCGCCACCGGCGCCGCCAGCGCGCTTTCCACTGCCCGCTTAGCCTGTGGAAGAAAACCGCTATTAACATCAACCCCTATTTCTTATTATACGGTATTCGGAGGAACACATCCATCTCATATTTAAAATGAAGGTGTGTACCATTGCTGTTATAACCTAATAAATTTGCACAGATATATGAACAGCATTGGCACAAACCTTCGTGGTTTACAAATGCTGTAAAAAACTTAAAAGTGTAACTATGTTTAATACTGTAATGTTAATAAAAATAAAAAAAACATACATAAAAATATAAATTGTTAAAACAAAACCGACTTCTAAAACATGATAAATAATATGAACTACCTACATAAAATCTCAAATCAAATCAAATCAAATCATTTATTGCATGTCACATTAAAATTATAACATAGTAATTATTTTGTTGCTCGTGTACATGTGACGCCCTGTAAGGGCATGGCAATGTTACAATACAATACAATACAATAAAATAAAATAAAATACAAATACCCAAAATTAAATAATATTAGAAATTACATGTCAAGAAACTTATAACAATATATATTAACAATAATTAAATTAAATATAAATTAGGCATTTCAAATATCACAATGTTCATCAATAACAATTTTTAATTTATTAATAATAGTATAATATTTATGTCAATTTTTCATTAAAAAATTCATCTATATTGTAATATGCTTTATTTAGTAAGAATAATTTTAATTGATTATTAAATGACATTTCTGTTTCCAGATTTTTAATATAATTTGGTATATGATTATAGATTTTTATTGACATAGCATGCGGGCCTGACGAGACTATTTCTAATTTTGAGAAGTGCATTTCTAGGTTGTTTAAATATCTATTGCCTCTCCTAACACTTGTTATAGGTGTATAAAATTCTGGGTGTTTCCTTACGAACTTACATGTTTCAAGAATATATATTGATACAAGAGTCAGTATTTTGTGTTTAATAAAATGAGGACGACATGATTCCATTTGATCAATGTTAGACATTATTCTGATACACTTCTTCTGTAGTATAAATATTTGATCTACATGACATGAGTTTCCCCACAGAACAATTCCGTAGGATAGAATTGAATATGCATATGCGTAGTAAGCTGTAAGGGCAGTTTTAAAATCCGTTACACGTTTAAGATGATGTAGTGCATATATAAAAGACGACATTTTATTTACTGTCTTTTTAATATGTGTTTTCCAATTCAAACACGTATCCAAATCCACTCCTAACAAAGTAGCAGAGTCAACGGTCTCTAATTTTGTACTCTTATAACTATATGAAATTTGTAATTTTGATTTTTGATATGGCTTAAACTGAATAATTTTGGTTTTACTAAGATTAAGTTGTAAATGATGAAAGTCTAGCCAGTTTACAATTTTGTCCAATGTAGAATTAAGTTTAGTTTTTAAGTCTGTTCCGTTGGAGCATGAAAACAAGACAGATACATCATCGGCAAAAAGCATACATAGGTCGTCTAATATGTTTGGAAGATCATTTATATAAATAAGGAATAAGATACATCCTAAAACGCTGCCCTGGGGAATAGAGCCTTCAATATGGATTGCATCTGATTTGGTATAGGTAATCATACCCGTTACAAAATTTGTATGTTGAATTTCTACATATTGATAACGGTTATGGAGGTATGATCTAAACCAATCATGGGCTTCTCCTCTGATTCCTGTTTGGTATAATTTATTCAAAAGGGTTTTATATGACACCCTATCGTAGGCCTTACTCATATCGAGTAAAAGGCCTACCGCGTACTTTTTATTATTAATTTCGTTTAAAATATTTTTTATATATTTATAAATTGCTAAGGTAGTGGAATGGTTTTTTCGAAAGCCGTTTTGATTTTCATGCAAGATTTTGTATTTTTCAAAAAAGGAATACATACGCCTCGCGATAACTGTTTCAAATATTTTTGCTGATGTTGGTAACAAAGCGATGGGTCGGTAATTATTAACGTCGGTTTGATCTCTGCCAGTTTTCAATTAAATATTTATGTATATTATAATTATTATTATTCATTTTTATATTTTTATTTGACAACAAAAGTACAAAATAACATAACAAAACACAATATAATTATTAATAATTTTATGATATTCAAAAGACCGCTTCCAGTAATTTTATTACCTTAAATCATTTTCATCTAAACTGTTACCAAGACGACATCATACGGCTCACACCGGCAAAAAGTTTTCAAATTTTATGTAGACCCAAACTTGTCGCTCTACATGCCCTAATTTTATACTTTATATGATTACATGATAATATCGAAAAACTTAATGCACTAAGCCTTCGAAAAACAATTCTTGATAGACCCTTTCTTACACACATGATTTTGTACTTTGTTATCTTTTTTCTTCCCCCCCCCCTCTCTTTCTTTCTTTATTATATAATGCTATGTACATATTCTTCTTTGTACGCCATTATATGTCATTGTGTCAAATCATCTATCTATGAACAAACTTTATCATAAAACAAATAGGTCATTTTGTTTCAACGCTTTCTTAAAAAGCTAACACATAATTCAGAAAATAACTTAAGTGCTTTTTGTAAAATAAAAAAAAAACAACAATACGGAATATTCCATTTTCTTTTTATTTTAAAATCTCTTTTCATTTTTTTAAGAAATGGGAACCAGTCTTTTAAGCTAATGGCATTAGTTGGGTTGGGGGTTACGATGACCAATTCGATTACACGCATTTTCACATACTTATTTTTCCGATTATAATAAGTGTTAAAAATTCAAGAAACTTTTATTATTATTCTATATTTTTGTGGAAAGGTATTCGGTTATTTAACATTAGTCATATTTCATGGCCAAGTGACAGCTGTCATAACACCTAATAGTGCCATTTACAATTAACTTTACACTCATATAATTTAATTTGATCTCTGTTTAATACGCATGTTTGTATACGTAGAGTACAGTCAACCAATTTAATTTCAAGGTCAATTAAAAATGTTATCATGATAAAAATCAATGATTAGTTTCTATTATCGAACTTATCTAATAACTAAAAATTTCATTTTAATATACCTATAACATCGTGGCATCGCAAAATAGGTAGTTTACATAAAAAGGAAAGAAATATCACTGGAAAATCTTTATACTGTATTTTGTTATTATTGGCAGAATCAAGAGCAACACCCAAGCAACACAGACTGGCTGCATAATTTCTGTATAATAGTAAAATTGACGACTTAAAGCTGCCATGGTTGTCTGGATAACGTCTGCTTATACAGATCATATACAGATGATATTCAAGCAATTAGGGCACAAAATTACTTGCTTTGTTTTGAATTACAGCTAGTTAGTAGCTGCTCAACTTCTGCATAAATGCTGATTTTTCTTTTATCCAGAAATGATATTTCACTTATGCAGCGAATACTGCTTGATGCGGGTAATATTCAGAATTCAGAGGTATATTCTAATGTTATACAGAAATTATACAAATAAACATGCAAAAAATATGTTTTTTTTTTTAATCACGGCGCACGTCTTCTTATTAAAGTATTGTCTTTATCTTTTAGTAAATTTGTATTATATGTTTAATGACTTATGAAGTTAATTGTTTATTATTATAGAACAGCTATATAAATGGAAGAATTAAATATTTGATCAGTTTCACAGATTTTAGAGCCGGTCGAAAAAATATAACGGATCAAAGCCTACCTACTAATGTCAATTGTCCACGTGCAAAGCCGGAGTGAATAGCTAGTAATATAACGTTTTAATACAGAAATATTGAACACTGCAAATAAATAATATATTTAGCAAAAACATTGAGTAATTCGATCATATTTCGAAATAGCACTTATTTTAAAATAATATCGAATTATAATAGTCATCAAAAAAATTACATTTTGCAATCCTATCTATAGTTTCATGTTATGAAGTTTATCGATAAATAAACACAACACAATATGAGTTTACGCTTATGTCAACAATTTAATAATTAACTGACGACACGTCATTATCTACTATCCGACCCGACGAAGTTAGTTCCGCTCAGTTTGTATAGGAAAAGAAAAGTTTAAGTATAGTGTGAGTTTACTGACAAAAAAAACGTAAAAATTGGGAGGAAAAAATCATTAAAAACGACTGCTCCCTATGCGAGTCTATTTATTTTTTTATTACTTTTACCCTTTTCAGGGTAGGAAAGGACTTTCATCCATACAGCCACGTCATATTTTAAACCTAATCTAATTGTTTTTTCGGAATACGATTTTAAGTAAGAACTTACCTCGGATCTCAACATATTTACAACAATATGTAAATATGTTTACAAAAATAAGAGTAAGCAGAATTGTTCCGACCTCAAAATCTCGAGTTTATGTATTTAGGATGTAGAGCATGTGTGGAGCATTTTAAAGCATTAAAAAAAACAATGGATCAAGAGATCGATTCCTGATCGGGTTATATAAAAAAATAAGTTTATTGTCTCGCGTTTGGTTATTGTACTTTTTGTTGTTCCAGATATTCCATAATACGAATTTTAAATACTTATCTTAAAATCTAAGCAATGTATGTGATGTTGACTCATATATATTTTTTAAACAAAAACATAAAAATCTATGATCAGTTTACATCTTATGCTTAGTTAGCATTGAATAAGCTCCGAAACTAATGAAGTGATATTAAAAATTCTTTTACCTATGGAAAGCTGCATCACATTATTCGCGGGTGATATAATAATAATTTTGGCATTGAGAACAACAGCTAGAATAAAAAAGATTAAAAGCAAAACAGCCTCCAAAAATATTTTAGCAATGTTATTTTGTTTTAGAAACAATGAATATTAAAAACAAAGATTAACATTTTAAAGTTTTTAGATCATAAAAACAGTGATTCTATTGTATAAATTTCCTGTTAAAGTAAGACGTTGCAAATTAATTGTTTTTTATTTAAGATTTAATGCAAA